TCTAGTAATTAACTCTGTAAACCTCTGGATCCACAATGGAGCCTCTCAATACAGACCTTCTTATTAGAGAAGCACTGCATCTGGGGCAAAGTCTACAAGGCCTGGCTAAATGGAAAAGCCACAGTTTTCTGTGATATTTAAGCAAACCATCTTGAATTAGGTTAGGGAAGTAGAGCAAAATTAGAATCATTATGTTACAATTTTTTAGTTTTTTGAAAGCCAATTGGATAAAAATAAATACTCTGAGACAATGTATTCTTTTGCTATTGGCGCTAGAAGGATTGTATCACTTCTTCTATCTGAGACTGATTTATACTTCAGTTCTTAGAGGAAAAGGATACAATATTCTATTATTTGAAAATAACTACCTTTGAGAGTGTAAGGTAATTCTAATCTGTAATAATTTTTTGTAAGTTGTAGGACTTGTTAACTTCTGGGAACAGAACAAGGATCTTATTGTGACAGAGAAAACTCTGTTCTGTGATGTAGAGGTTGTATTCAGGATTTGGAAAGGATTTAATTTATTGAATATATATACTTGAAGGGTTAGATGTGCCTGCAGTTTTTGCTTTCTCTGACATACTGTTCTAATGTGCATGTAGGATTTAAAATTTAAATTTTTTATATGCAGTGTGGTTTTTTAACTCTTTTTCAAGTACTATGTCATGCATCCCATGGTCTCTACGTGGAGCAGAGCAGTGTTTTTATAGCTCTTCTGGTTCAGACTTTTTGTCTTAAGTCATGTTATGCTTGCCTTGTATGTACTTTAAAGTTGTATTATGTATATATCACCTCATCAGAACACTGCCAATTCTTTGTGCTGGAGGCAAAAGACAGAATTTCATACCCATTAATTTAATTGCTCTATGCCAAAGCACCCAGTTTTCTGTTTTATTCATTAGTCTCTAAATAACGTCTTAATGTTTTCCTATTACACAAATTTTCACCTAAGATTAGTATTTTGCTATTTTATATTTTTCACTTTATTTGTGTCCTGGACTTTGATTTTGCTTGATTAAAACTCAACACCTTTTCTTAATTATTCAACCATTTTGACTTCAATTTAATAGTATTATGAAAGTGTTTCATACTCCTTTTTCCAGAGATTGCATTTGTCAGTATGTATCAAAGGCAAGATAATTTTTCATCTTTTAAAATTATTAATCTCTTACGTTGTGAAAATTCTTCTGATTGTCTACAAACCAGATTGAATCTAATAAATATCATTTTAAGTGGGGGGGGGGAGGGGGGTATGATTGGGTGGGGGGGGGAGGGGGGAGGCTGGGAAGGGAGGTGAAGGGTAAACAAAGGAGGAGGCTGCAATGCTTGGTAAGAAATGTATGCATTATCCTGCCCATGTAATTGTAACCCCTCTGTACAGTATGTTCTCAAATAAAATTAAATTAAATTAAAAAAAATAAATAAATATCATTTTAAGAAATCACAGTCCTTCTAGTACCAAATCTCATAGATGGCATGCTCACCATGTAGAGTGAAAAGAATCTATAAAAAATATCAAGGAACCCTAGTTTAATATTTAACCTTTTGCTAACTATTTATAAACATTGAGCTTTTTGTCTATAAAATGAGGACCTCTTGCTTCCTTAGGGCAGTTTTGTGAGATTCAAATGGAATCATGGGAAATGGAAATCCTTTGTAAACTGCAAAAAATGTAAATTAGGCAATCATGATCATTATTACTATTATTATTATTAAGTTTCTCATTATAGATGGACATTTTCATGGTGCATAACCAATATTCTACCAGTGGTGAAATTGGCAGAGGCAAGCCTTTAAGACATGTGAGAAGGTGGAAAATGTGGTGAATTTGCCCAGTCGTTGAGCATTAGTGAAAGACGGTTTGGCAGAGTAATTATTTTTTCCATCCTCAAATATACTGTCTCCCTTTCCATAGAAACTATGTGAAAGCAAGACGTCATCTATTTAAAAGCTTTAACTCTGAAAAGAAAAAAAAAAGGAAAAAGAAAGAAGTCTCACCTTCAAAACAAATAAACTTTGGAGGGGTGGTTGGCTTTGGAGGCTAGCATTTCAGTGTCCCTTGACTGTAAATGTTACAAGACCTTGGTGAGTTGGGCCCATGATCTCACAGAGAGACTTTGGCTCCCTGGATCTCATACCATGTACCTTAGGAAGTTCTTGGACCAGAGATAGCTGTGATCACATTAGTCATTTTTCCCAGTGCAGGGCCCCAGGGCTGTGGTTTGCAGTCTCTAGTGATAAAGCGATGAGGATGGAGAAGCCGGTGGTTCTGTGAGGTAGTAAGCAATGCAGTCTTTTCTATCAAAGTATGTGGCCATCTTAACTACTTTCAGCTCCAAGTAGTTCTGGATTCTTCTTTATAAGCCCCATTTTCCCACAACTGTGGCCTGCCAAGATGTAAAGCCTGAACAACTGTTTCAGACTTCCCCAGATTTACTCACCAGGATGTAAATGTTATTCTCCTCTGAGCAGGTATCAGATTTTAGCCAATCACAAGCTGATTGTGAACCAGAGCCCAGCCAATCCCAGTGGAGGGAGAGAGTCAGCTTACTACCTGCCCAGGGTGCTTGTTCTATTTGAATGCTTGTCAGTACAAGACCCTCCTGCAGAAGTAAACTTTGCCTTGATAGTTCCTTTCAAATTGGTGTCCTTACTCCTATCTATATCTCAATATCCCAAGGCATTTCTAGCAAGATTGATTCCACTCTAGAGGAGGAAACCGATTTGAAATTTGGCCTTGATATTATCAATTCATGTCCATTTATATTCCATCCTGAAGAGCAAATATTCTTTCTTCTTTGTATTTGTGACTATGGTTATGTATTTTAAAGTTTTACTCTTCAATCTTTGTTTCTTTCATTCATATGTCAATAAGCATTCTTATTAAGATTTTTATTAGCATACATTAGTTGCACAAGGAAGATTCATCATGACATTTCAGTACATATATACAATATATCTTGATCAGCATCACCCCTTTTATCATTCCTTTATTTCTCTTTCCCCTTTATAAAACAATGTCAACAGGTTTTATTGTTCTATTTTCACCTTCTTTTGTTCACCTTCCCTCCTCCTACTGGTATCAATATGGTAGAGTACTTTGGTATCTAACAGGTCTGAATTCAAATCCTACTTTTGCCACTTCTCACCCTACTACTTTTTTTCAGTGCTAGGGCTTGAACTTGGGGCCTTTATACACTACTGAACCCCACAGTCCTTTTGCTTTTAGTACTTTTTCAGATAGTCGCTCATACTTTTTGGTTGGTCTGGCCTTGGACCATGATCCTCCTGTGTTTGCTTCCCAAGTGGATGGGATTACAGGCATATGTCAGTATTCCCATTCATCTTACTTTTCTTCATATTAATTACTCTGAGGTTTTTCTCCTCTCTTACATGAAAATAGTACTACTACGATGCCACTACTACCTCAAGAGTAATTTGGATACATTATGTTGACTATTTGAAGGTTAATAAATTCATATTTGTACTCTAGGGTTACTAATACATAGAAGGATTATAAAGGCAACAAAGTAGGTGAGCTATGTTTATTTATTTTTATATAATATAAATTAATTTACTTATATTACATAAAAGCTTTCCTGTAGAAATTTAGAAAAATAGAGCAATATTTTCAAAACAATTATAAGTACTTTGTATCAGAACTTGTACAAATTTGGCATTGAGAACTAGGCCTCTCATATTGTTCAAATCCCACAGCAATCAGAGAGGCCATGCAGGGAGAAGCTTGCCTGCTCAGGCACTTGGTTTTCATTTGGCTCAAGTCCTACCTTGGCTATTTATTAGGAACTTAGTTTGGTCTGTATGCCTGCAGCTAAAGATTCCTGTTGTAGCTGTGAGTTTACAGTTCAATTCCATGAATACTAGTTGAGCATGCTATAGCCTGACACAGTCATTAGGCATACAACAGTGGACAAGACATAAAGAGCCCGTGTCCTCCCAGAACATATAGTTCAAGGTCAAGAACAAACAAGCCATCACTACATTGGTAAGTGCTGGCAAGTATTATAGAAGAATCTACTAAGCCCAGACTGAAGGTTCAGGAAAGACTAAAGAGAATAGTTCTGTGCAGCTCAAATGGTAAATCACTTGCCTAGTGTGTGTGTAAGGACCTGAGGTCCAATCCTCAATAGCACACATACACACACACACACACACACACACACACACACACACACACAATGTGGCCCCTGACATAGTGCTGAAATACTGCCTAAAGTTCTTAAGTGCAAGAAGACTTTGATGTACTTTATAGAGCAAACATGTGGGTTATATAAGCTTCATTGCCTGAGCCATAACACTGTAGGCCATGAGTTAAATGTTAATAAATTAAGAATGTACATGAAATAAAGTGGCTTTAAACATAAACACATAAAGCATTGTGATATATGATCAGATATTGTGCAATAGACTTAAAAAGCACCAACTTCCTATTTACCCCAAGCAGTGGCTCAGTATTGGCTAGTTCAGTGTCTATAATGACTGTGTAGAACAAAATGACAGAAAATATCAAGAACTAACTATATTTTATTAACTTGAATATCTTCAGTAACTCCCATAATGACTCCCATGTAATACTGAAACTGAAATTTGTAGATATGTGCTGAGTATATGTGTGTATATATACTCATATTACATACATACATACTATACATACATCATAGATATATAACACATACAATGCACATGAAACACCACATGTAATATAAGATACATGTAATGCATACATAACACACTGAATGTATATATTGCATGTGTAATATAATACACATTGCACATACAGATTATATGCACGTGCAAATATATTCATATTCTATAGACACATTTGTTATCATATTTACATAGAAATAATATAAATTTACAGTTGAATTTGTCTTTCATCCCAAAGGTATGTCTCAGAGGCTTCTTACTTTCTGCCAAAATTTTATAAAAGTAGCTTTCAATAGGTTACTGTGATTCCACTATTTTCTGTTTTTATCTAGGATGCTGGAGAAATGGTCCGCTCTTTTGTTGGTGGTCTGGAACTTGTTGTCAATTTACTGAAATCGGATAACAAAGAGGTTTTGGCAAGTGTATGTGCTGCTATTACCAACATAGCAAAAGATCAAGAAAACTTAGCTGTTATTACGGATCATGGAGTTGTACCTTTATTGTCCAAGCTGGCAAATACGGTGAGCAACACTCCTGATTATTCTGAGTGCATGGTGTCAGATCAAGTAGAACAAGAAAACAAACACAAAATGTGAATATAGAAACTTGTAAAGTAGAGGCTATTTATTATTTGTTAATGGTGTACAAAAAAGAGCAAATGTAAGCAGGATTATGCATTAAATACCATCTTCACCACCACTATCATTGTTTTGAAGCCAGCTGTTTAGGCTATTGTGAAAAGTTGATTTGCAACTCTCCCAGCTTAGCAAGCTTAAATTGGTGGCATTCTTGAGTTAGAGGGCTTTGGAAATTACTGTACTGTTTATCTAGAGCTGTGCCAGATTGAATAGGCAACCTTGAGAAACAATGACTTCATTATTACCAGAGGCATTGGGGCATAGCTTGGACTACTATTTGGCTAAGGTGTCATACAGCAGAAATTCAAACATTGGAAGAACAATTGGTCAAGGAAGCTTTGAGTTGCTAATAGGATCAGGCAGATTCAACTAAGGACACCGAGTTATTGAATCAAAAGAACAGTACAGACTCAGGCTTGTAATCCTAGCCACTCAGGAGATCTGAAGATCACAGTTTGAAGCTAGCTAAGGCAGGAAATCAGAGAGATTCTTATTTTCGATTAACCACCAAAATATCAGAAGTGGAAGTGTGGCTTAAGAGGCACAGTGAGTGTAAAAGCTGAGGAATAGGAAGTGGTGCTGTGGCTCAAGCAGTAGAGCACTTGCCTTGAGCTGAGGAGCACAGGGACAGCACCCAGGCCCAGAGTTCAAGCCCCACCTCCGACCAAAAAAAAATAGCTGAGGAATAACACCAGACCCTGAGTTCAAGCCCCAATTCTGGCTGACAGACAGACACAGAGATACAGGGGGGTGGGAGAGAGAGAGAGAGAGAGAGAGAGAGAGAGAGAGAGAGAGAGAGAGAGAGAGAGAGAGAGAGAGGAGAGGAAGAGAGAGGGAGAGGAAGAGAGAGGGAGAGGGAGAGAAAGGAGGGGGAGAGAGAGAACAGTTAAAAACCCTCACAATTCCATATCCTTTTCTTGTATACCTATGTGAGATAGGATCTGGTGTGCATAAAGAATGTAAGAAAAAAATGAAGACCTAGTGCAAGTTATTTCCCTCTTGGAAACCCAGATGATTACTGTACCAAGATCCAGGACAATGAAGCAAGTAGAGTTAGCCCACATTTCCCACTTTAGTGAGGCAGTCTTTGTAGATGATCCAATATTCTGTAAATCTTTTGATTACCAAGCATCTCACTGATTTGTAATTTTTAGTTTTAACTACCTTTACTCAAAGGAGATCAAGTTTTGCCAATGATCAATATCAGGCTCCTAACTCACCCTCAAAAACCCTGGCAATATTCAGATAATAGGAAGAAAACCCAGAATGGAATCTGTCCATTGGTGACTCACCCAAACCTTAGTAACTTTAAAATAGCACCTAACAAGTGAGTGAGCTTGGAGCCCACTGGTATCTTAATGAGTAATAAATATACAGTGGATAAACATGGTCTTAGAGGATCACTGCATTCCATGATCCTCAACTCATTTTCCTTTGTGCAGAATAATGATAAATTGAGGCGTCACCTGGCAGAGGCAATTTCCCGTTGCTGCACATGGGGAAAAAACAGAGTGGCCTTTGGTGAACACAAAGCAGTGGCTCCATTAGTGCGTTACCTGAAATCCAGTGACACCAATGTGCATCGAGCGACGGCACAGGCCTTGTACCAGCTATCAGAAGACGCCGATAACTGCATCACCATGCATGAGAACGGTGCAGTGAAGGTACAGTTGATTGAATGCTTTGGGGGCTTAGTCTGAGTGACCAAAGATCGAGCCTGTAAAGAAACTTAAGGTTCTGAAATTTCCTAAAAGAGATACTTGGATGCACAAAAGTACTTCCTGGCTGGGTGCAAGCCATGTGTTTGCATGAAGCAATCTATGGTGACAGAATTTGCTCAAATCAAAACATACAAGTGGACTTTGTACATGGGTAGTCATCCCATAATTTGAATTAGGTTAAATAACATGTAAAGGACATGGGCAATTACTATTCATGTCCATTGATATAATATTTATGTAATTAATAAGTGATAGACGCATCCATAGGTACCAAATGAACAGCAATAATAATAATAATAATGTTAATAATAATGACGAGAAAGTTCTAGGCTGGAAGAGTGATGATCTTAGCCATCTTATCAAAGAGTCAATTCAAAGATAGGTATTGTGTTTTGTTCTGTTTTAAACATGGACATCAGATTTTATTTGCTTTTAACTAATATATAGTTAGCACACATAGTTCTAAGTGTATCTACCCTTTGGAAACCACCTAGAATATTTTAGTGACAATAAATATAAAAATACAGCAAATGACTTACATGTCTTAGAAACTAGGATTAAAATATTAGTTCTTTTGCTCTTCTTTCCTTTTTTCTTTCTTCCTTTCTTTTCCCTTTTTACTTATTTATTTTTTTGAGGAGTTGAGGATTGAACTCAGAGCTTTGCACTTCCAGTGAGCTAAATCCCTGAACCCTTAGTTTCGTTTCGTTTCTTTCTTTCTTTCTTTCTTTTATCTCCTTTTTTCTTTTCTTTCTTTCTTTTCTTTCCTTTTTTCTTTCTTTCTTTCATCTATGTGGGGCTTGAACTCAGGGCCTGGGTGCTGCCCCTGAGCTTCTGTGTTCGAGGCTAGTGCCCTACTACTTGAGCCACTGATCCACTTCTGGCCTTTTGCTGGTTTATTGGAGATAAGAGTCTCACAGATTTTATTGCCTGGGCTGGCTTCAAACTGCAACACTCAGATCTCAGCCTCCCGAGTATCTAGGTTTACAGGCATGAGTCACCAGTGCCCAACCCTTAGCTTTCTTTTCGTTGCTGTTTCCGTGTATGATATAATTTTATAATTTATTATCTTAATTTGGAGTTTATGATAACCAGATGTATTTACATATTTGAAATGTATATCAAAAGTCAACCTTTGCAGACAAGAGTCAAAATCTCTAGTTAATCATTTCTGCTCTAATCTAGATATACCAAATATAAAACATCTAAGGGGGAATAATGCTCTTAAAATGTCAACTGGTAATCTCTTAGGCAATTATTTTAATCTATCCTTCAGACTTGGTTGAAAGATTTGATGTTGATTTTCTGAAATTAAACCCAATTTACATTTGGAAATGTCAATCTTTCCACTATAAATCTGTTTTTTATGGCACATAAATCAGGTTTTTGTGCTCCTTAAGCAAAAATTTTTAAGCAACAATGTTAAAAAGTAAATTATAAAAACATATGGAAATGCCAACTTCAAATTGCTGATGAATGATAAAAAATGCTGTCACTTCTATATGAGCATGTTCACACTTGAAAAATAGAAGGATGTCTAATTTAAAAGAATCCATTCTGCTGTTGAGCAAAGCTTGAGCAGACTAAGATGTCAGAAATATACAGCCTTTTAAAACACTATACCAGAGTGAAGGAAGAGTGACATTGTCCAAAACAAAATGTACACTTTACCTGACTTATAGAACTAACCTTTCTGTAACCACCTTTATAATAACGATAAAAAAACTTAGAAAAAACCATAAAAGTGAAGTAGCCTAGTAAAACGTCTGACATGTAACACAGACTTAGACAATTGCCAGTCAATTTACAAAGAGTATTTCTAGACGGCTGAAGAGGTTTTGAATTTCATGAGGTTCCCATATTATGTTTCCGTTGACATGTGCCAGCTCTTGATGCAAATCTGTGATTTCTTCTCATGCTAATCAATAGATAATTCAATCATGCATGAATTGTATCCTAGTGTTGAAGTGTGAAACAGTTCACTCACTCTCACAGCCAGGATGTGTTAGAACAACAAGGCAATAAGAATAAAGAAGATGAGGAACCCAGGTACTGGTGGCTCACACCCATAATCTTAGCTACTGAGAATAACAGTTTGAAGCCAGCTGGGGCAGGAAAGTGCATGAGACTCTTATCTCCAATTGGTCATCAAAAATAAGTTGCAAGGGGGCTGGGAAGGTGGCTCAATGTAGAATGCTTGCCTTGCATGCCTGAGGCCCTGGGTTCTATTCCTCAGCACCACATAAGCAGAAAAAGCCAGAAGTGGCACTTTGGCTCAAGTGGTAGAGTGCTAGCCTTGAGCTGCAGAGCTGAGGGACAGTGCCCAGGCCCTGAGTTCAAGCCCCATAACTGACAAAAAAAAAAAAAAAAAAACTACAAGGAGAACTCATATTTAGGTCTCTGAGAATCTTTTCTGTTCTATCTACTTGCACTCCAAACTGTTATTTCTACTGGAGAACAATTTAACAGTTGTCCATCTAAAACAGACCTTATGGTTAGGGGCATGACTCATTTGGTAGAGCGCTAGCCAATGAGCAAAAGCATCAGGTACTGAGTTCGAGTCCCAGTCTTGGAACTAAAACAAAACAAAAAAGGCAGGTCTTACACCATGGCGTATTTTCAGTACTGTGGGTGTAACATGGAGGTGAGCTTGCCCTTCTTATTTCCCTTCCCACTGAGGATCCCATATCTCATGGGCCATCGGAGAAGCATATTCTCTCCCCTCTCTGATAGTCTAAAAGAAGAAAAGCAATGTAGAGGTAGTAGACTGGCTGTTAGTAAGATAAAAAAAAATAGTTGCTTACAAAGAGAGAATGGAGAAGAAATGACTCCAGACTTAAGGTTCATGAGGAACATTCTTGTACACACATACCTGGCACATTAAGGTAGTTTAGGTACCTGCAGAGAGCATGTCACACCACAAATGTGCAACTGCTAGCACCTCTGAGTCCAACGCATCCACCCAGTTGACTTCATCGACTCTTTTGGCACATTCTTGGCTATGGTGTTCTGAGTTGCTATTGCTCTGCTTGAGTCAAATTCTTGACGTGTTACTTCCCACTCTTGTAACCATTCCTGTTCCAACTGCCAGTGAACGAATGTTGACAGGCTCTCCCATAGTTACCAGAGTTGCCTTGTCACCTGTTGGTCTGAATTCATTCTAGGTTTATCCTCTTTGTCCCACAAGTTCCTTTACTGCAGTGACTGGCACAGTGCCATGTATCTGCTTCATGCCAACTGAGGTTTATTCTGTAGTAATATGAAGGAACAGCGTGTGGGGCTGACAATGAATGGAGTTTGGGTTCCAATGTGTTTAGCATGGATGGTGGGTTTGAATTTTGGGCATACAAGAATATTGTCCTGTAGCAATGTCACGCAAGCCACTTACCAAAATGTGAAAGTAGTAGTCATAATTTTTGAAAAATGATACAAAAGCAATAGATGAAATCTGTTTATGAATTTATCCAGTTTATCTGAATATTATTAGCTCAACATATCATTATTATAAAAAAAAATTTACTGTGGTTTTACACTGTTTTAAGATATAATGTCTATTTTGCAGTACCTATTAGTACAGACTAGCCACATTTTATGGTTTGCTTACCAGACAGTTTAAGTCTAAAGCTGTGGGAAGTTTTATCAGACAGGTCTGAAGCCAAAAATGAGAGCAGATGCAAGGTTAGGGGCAGAGTTTAGAGAAGCCTGGGGAACGTCTCCATTTTCACTTTGGGGGAATGTAAATGAGGAAGAAGAGCTGTCAAAGTAAACTTGAGAAGTTAACAGGTTAGCCGGGATTTCTAGAAGCCAAAGGAAGAGTGAGTTTCAAAAGGCTTTGTGTTTAAATGCTGCCAAGAGGTCAAGAAGGATTTCCTGATTCAATTATGTTGAAAGCTAATCCTGCATGAGAGGCTTTCCAGGTTAAGAATCTCTTCTAAGTAGACCAGTCACTTGCCTGCTCTAAATAGAAGAATCATTCATTCCTGGCCGCTATGACTTTTTACACTGTCTTATTCAAATGCATCAGCTCACAGACTTGTGAGTGTGGACACAGAGTTGTTGAAAACAATTTGGAAAAATAAGAAGTCTGTGAGAGATTAAGTTTGTAATTCAGGAGAGCAATTTAAAAAGCAGAAAAAAAAATGAGCAATGCACCCAGAGCTAGTGGCTCACACCTGTGTTCCTAGCAACTCAGGAGGCTGAGATTTTTAGGATCGTGGTTCAAAGCCAACCCAGGTAGAAAAGTCTGTGAAACTCTTATCTACAATGAACCAGAAAAAAATGCCTGAAGTGGAGCTGTGGCTTAAGTGTTAGAGTACCAGCCTTGAGCAAAAAAAAAAGCTCAGGAATAGCACCCTGGCCCTGAGTTCAAGACCCAGGAACCTTGTATTCCCCACCCTCCATCCCCGACCTCAAAGACAAAAAGACCAAGTCTTTTCTTGAGGCAGAAAGAGTGAACAAATAATGAAGAACATCTATTAAAGTCATTAAGTTCCTTTCCCTATGGTGATGTTAGATTTGTTTGTGCAAATGGCTATACCAGGCAAGTGACAGCTACATTGTGGGCATAACTTCTGGAAAGGTGGGATACGGATGAGATTGCAGGAAATACAACCAGAAAATGTGCCCAGGGTTGGCAGAGGGAGAGGGGAGGAGTTCAGTTTGGGCCAAGCTAAAGGTGTCTTGATCTGCCTCCTAGGCCCAGTGCATGTAGTGTAGTCAGAGACAGAGAGAAGCATCCAAAGCATATCCCATCATCTTTTGAAGCCTAGAACAGGAAAAGAAAAATATTATTGATGTTTGTGAGTCAAGTGAATGGATTTTAGAGACCAGAGTCACCTAGGAACTGTGTGTCAAGTTGCATAGTATTTGATCTATATATATATATATATATATATTCTGTTAAAGAAGACTCTTAATTTAACTTGGAAGTTTTGGGTCATTTT